ATAGGGCTCAACGGGCAACACTACCCGTCCTCCATACAAAAAATTTTTGGCTGATCGTGTAAGACATCAGCCGAGCCGAGCCGTTCCGAGCCGAGCCGAGCCGAGCCGAGTTTTAGTAATTACCGGATGTGATGGGTTTTGTTCGAGGCAGGGGAGGGAGCTAGGATAGGTGGATATAAGGACTAAATAGCGTAGGTTCTGCCGATTGACTAAGTAACGTACATTTGGAGGGGAGAGGGAAGCAATGAAGAAAGGAAAAATGAGGAAGTGTGCTCCTGGGACTTCCCTTTTTATGAAACTGATGCTTAGGTAAAGCTGAGAGCTAATAAGTTCCACAAAGTGGGCAAGAGCAAGATAGACTGGATGCGCGAGGATGAAATCAGCCTTCACTTCTGTGAGATTTCGAAGGGGGCCCTTCATACCTCGGTGCGGTATTTCGGTTATTGCCTGTTACTTGCTTAAGTTCCTCTTTCATTTGCATCAACTCGTTGATAGCTATTTCCAGACCCTTTGTAATTGTATTCTCAGAGTCCTTTACGCCTGTCTGTGCATCTGACGTAGTTACTGCATTTATAAAAGCTTCTGCATCTGATGTTGCAACCATACCATCTACATGCTGAGCTTTAAGAAAAGCTTGCTCAAACGTGGTGGGTTCCGCATTCTGCACAAAGAACTTTACTTTTTTGCCGAGTCCGGCGATGAAACGGTCCATGAGCGTGCTCTTAAAGGTTTGCTCACTCTAACTGGTCTTTTAATGCGCTCTGTATATGTGGTCACACTTCCTCCGTCCTTTTGTTTACAGTTCATCAGTTTCTGCCTAGTCACTGCGCGTTTTTGGAGATTCGAACACTTCTTTTAAACGATTTACTGCTTTGTAGAAATCATCCTTTTCGTCCTCTGTCAGTGCCTCATATTCTTCCCTGAGGAACCCATCTAGAAAGAATTTTAGTTTTTTGGCTTCTTGCTTACTTGTCCAAGGCTTTGTGCATCTGCGTAGTCTTGAAACTTCCTTAACCAGGCTGAAAATGTAACGTCCACATGCATACGATGTCAACCTGATCCCATGACCAGCGAAGTCCGATCCGACCACACTGACGTCTGTGTCATCCTCTTCATTCAACTCTTTGTCATCATCACCTTCTACTTTATAACGTTTATTGTTATTATTCTTTATTTTGGTGAAATCAGCTGTTAGTTTTTCTAACCTATCTGCTGTTGATCCGAATCCTTGGTCCATCTCCTTTTTCAGCTTCCCTTGTTCATCCTTAATATCTGATTACCCCGCTGAGCAGCTCTGAGATCCCTTTCAAATGACTTCAAGCAGCTAGTAATGTCTTCAACCACTGGTATGAGTTGACCAATTGTGGCCGCTTTCTTGGGACTTTGGGCTTTCAAGGTTTTTAAATCTAGCTTTGTTGATTCCATGATTTTTGATCTGCGTGCGGGGTATTTGTTTGTGTAGTTCAATCACCAGGATCCACAGGGGATATTCCACGCCAACCACTCGCTGCTACCAGTAAATGTGGGACATGCCTAGTGAGGTCCTGACTCTGGCGTTGTCTAGTGGAGCACACAAGCTGACTTATCGAAGTTCTTTATGATACGTTATTGCATTTAATTATAAAAAGAGAAAAGCGGGGTCTGGGGCATTATGCGCAGTCAGCAGTTAGCGCATTAATAAATAGGAAGTGACTTATCCGAGAAACACCAAGTTTGCCGGGGTACCCGTTTTAGTCAACAAGTTGTCTTGAAAGCCCAGAGCCAGTGCCGTTGATGGCATGTGAATTAGATGATGTCGAAGTGCACCGCAAGCCGATGTCGAATTCGAGGTGACGCCGTAGATGAAAAAAAAAAAGATCCCAACTGAGGAGAAGGGGCCCTTATATAGTGGAGACGGGGCCCTTATATAGTGGAGACGGGGAGGGGTTCAGACTGTTGTCCCGCCGAGTCTACCGCCCTACCCAGATGTATTCCCAGACACCGGAAATGTTTGTTCCCTCCGAACAATGGGTTACGGTACGGAGAAGGGCCAGAAGACAATTAATGGGGATCGGAAATGTAAAAGGACTGGGGAAAAACAAATAAAAGCATTTATCAAATGATATCCCGCTGTCATAAATTGTCGTAAGCTTCGTCACCAAAATAGCTGCGTTTACATTTCCCTGGGTTTCTGAGGGAAATAAAAAGGCTTACATAATGTAGGAATCCCGCTAGCCTTATATCTAGTGACAACAAATAAGTAATTCGAGACTGCGGGGCATTTAATTCGGATCTGCCGAAAATTTTGCGCGGGGAAAGTTGAACTGGACGAGCAGCCAAGACTTTCACTCTCTCATACCATTACTGCGACCACACGAAACTTCTTCGAGTCACTGTAGAATTTTCCTTACGCTCTGGGCTTACCTGAACGCAAGGAGGGACATGAAAATTTAAAACACGCGTTTGCAACCGTCACGGTTGCTTCTGCTTCATGTCGCTCCCCATTCCCTCAGTACTGTCACCAAAACACTGCTATAGAGTGTAGAGGTAATTTTAACTAGTCGGTCAAAGAAAAACGCCGAAAGCTTCTGTACATTTCTCAACTGCACAGCCTTCTGAGAAAAAACATGTATGAACGATCCACACGATAACAGAAGGCACACAGCAAATATTAAAAATGCTGTGAAATACATTTAAAAGCAACAAAGTGCGATTTTCCCGAATAAAGTATTGCACACAAAGCGGAGATATCTTCAGCAACACATTCGCAAACTGTTTCATCTCAACAAAACTACTTCACAGGAATTCGTTGCGGTGACGCCCTGTCGCTGCTACCACAAGCATATCCGTACACGAAAATCCCCAGAACGAATCATACAGAGATTTAAGACAACTTTTCTTTAAGGCATTTTTCGTACAGATCGTAGTCCTTGTCCAGAAATGTAACAAAAACTATGCGATCCACCTGCAAAATTTTATGAAGTAGCTCAATATTCATATTTCTAATGCAAATTCAAAAAGACAGAAAATTTTCCATGTCCCGTGAGAAACATCCACAAAGTGACAGACTGCCGACAGCTTCCTCTTGCAGGAACCGCGCGCCAGCAAGCCGCAGATGGTTCTGACACATTATTAAATAAATGCCTTTTATTTCACAGAAGCGAAATTTTGAAATGAATCGAAATCGGAGCTTACTTTGTCTTGATTCTCTTTCAGCCAAGCCAAAATCGAAGTAACAACAACATTACAAGCATCATCATTTGGATAACCGTAGATCCCTGTTGAAATGCACGGGAAAGCCTGAAAATGTCGCTTGGATATCCCACTGCCACCGTGCTCAGTACCGCAAAAAATATGTCACCATCCACGTTTCAAACAGGCAAAAATCAGCAAATGCTGCACTGAAAAATTATATGAAAAAAGAGCCTAATAAACCAACACAAGCACTACAGACAGTTCCTTTCTGATACAGTTTTTGATGAATGCTGCTTTCAAGCACTGGAGGGGACCTTCAAAATCACGTTCCGTGCGTTTTTTTTTTTTTGTTCAGCAGAGAATGGAGCAACAAGCAGAGAAGAGAAGGAAGTAACGATGACCAGACGCTAGCTGCAGCTCATACTAAATTTGTGGAAAAACTGGCAAGGGGAGGAAGTAAATTACGCCGATACGTAGCATATCCTTTATGCTGAAGTGAACTGACCACAGATCTGAGATTATTGGCAACAGCAAGTTTCAGCGATTCGATGTAGCACGATTTCAACTGCTTGCGCTGCTCATCACTTACTGCCCCATGCACTTGCGGCCCCACCGTGTGAATTACGTCTGAAAATTGATGGCAAAAAAGTTTCTTTGATGATTTGTGAGCGGAAAGGCACTTCGCCAAGTGGCTGATGCGTGAAAAAAGAAGCAGCTCAATTAGTCCCGCAGACGTGAAGAAATCGCTTTCTGTCTTTCTCCCAGCTATTTGCAGTTCATTTCTAGCCAATGCACAGGAAAAGTTTTTGTAAATTCTCATGTCAAAAGCCGCAATCCCTTCGTATTCACGCTTGGTGGGAGGTGGAGGCAGTCAGGACTAGTTCGACTGATAACGCATGCGGTTGGTAGGATTGCCGATGGCTCTTTCTTTCGAGGGCTGCTTAGAAGAAATAATAAGATCAGTAAGGATGAAAGCACCGTCCCGAGGGCGGTGATTCCCGCGACCCGCAAATGCCCTTAAAACTAGATGATAGCAGGACTTTCGCCAATGTCAATCTTTCAGGTAAATAAAGTTAAAACCCCGTGCTTAAGAAAGCGGCTACAGTGTGGGAAAATAATTCGGGCATTGATATGAAAAATGAAACGTTACGTTTTATATGCTTCATGTTATGTGCACCAGTGATTTTGGCCTCCCCCACTCGACAGCCATTCAGTTTTTTGCATTCCTCGTACAGGCCACGTCCCGCTGCTCGGTGGATCGCGCCATCCACGCCGCCACCTAAATAGCAACACTTACTGAGCGATAACAAACACAATATCCAGCCGGAGAAGTGATGTAAAAAGATAAAAAAATAAACAAATTCACGTTAATTGGGTAGGCTTATGAGTTGCAGCATTGTTGGGAGCGCAAATTTTGCACTGTGCCGAAAGCGCTGCTGATTTGCGCGATTCGCAAATAGCCCTAAAAAGAATGCTGACCTCCGAGAAGCGAGCTGTTGGCGGCATTCACGATGGCATCAATTTCGAGTTTCGTTATGTCACCTCTGTCAATTGCGACCATCTTCGCCAGTGCACTGCTTGAATTTGTC